AAATACTTGAATCTATTTTAAAATAAAAATAAATATATTTAACTACACAATATAATTCTATATATATAGTACATACAAAGCACATAGTATATAATATTTACATATGCAGTCATACATGACAGAAGAATAACAAAACCTAAATACTAATATTTAGTCCGAGATTTTAAGTATTTAGCAAAATAAAGGAATTTAACTCAGTGTATCGTAACTGTTGAGCAACACAAATGAGTTTTCCAGTTTGGAGAATCATGCAGTTTTAATAGAACTGATAAGAAATAATTGTCACTAACACACCTGAAGTGACATTTTACACTTACTTTGCATAGTCAAAGAGCCTGCTGTCCCAGAGGTCATGATTTCCTCTAGGACCAGAATGGAAGAAACAATAATCTGTACCATCAAATTTGTTGAGACCATCTTCAGAGTTTTTCGACGCATGGCTGTGAACAACATCCAGCAGAACAGTGATGCCCATTGAGTGAGCAACATCAATCATTTCCTTCAGGTCATCTGGAGTTCCGTAACGGCTATCAGGATGAAAATGCAATGTGTTATGGGTGGTATAATCTGAATTTAAACTGACAATACTGAACACTACACATAAAAACTACGTCAAAGTCAGCAGTTCTTCATCACCTAGTTTCCAGTTGTATATAGATAATTTTTTCAGCCTTTTAAGTAGCAGCCATTGATTACGAACTGACAATTAAAACAATTTTTTAATTATAAAAATTGCAGCATACATGCACGCAATGTTTTGCAGAAATAGCTTCAAAATTTTGTTCTTCTCTTTTAGTCTGTTAATACTCAAATTCAGTATAGAAGATAATGGATACAACTTCAAGCTTCTATTTAATATTGAACATTTCCTTACTTTGTAAGAGATAAGAATATATTTATATTACTGGAATAAAGTAATCCATGACTACAAAAGCAAATGCACATTCATGAAAGTCCCCAAAATACAACATCTTTTGCTGTCCTGCTTAGTTATGTTTCACTAGACTATTTTCCAACTTGTTTTTAAATAAAGATTTTTGTCTCCTGTGTCTGACACGCGTTTCTTCAAATAATTAATCCAGTTAAAACTTCCTGTCTATCTAAATTTAGCTGGATCATCACTCGAGCTTCACCAAGATGGGGGGGGGTGGGGTGTGGAAATCACAACATTCAGGTTTATCGTAATTTTCGTAACAATCAAATGAATACATTTTCCACCTATTTTCTAGGCCTCAAATCTAAGTACAGTCTGTTGCAAGTGTGGGAAGAAGTTTCCACAGAACACACAGAGCCATGATTTTAATCAAGTTTATTATGAAAAAGTAGTGTACAGTTCTGTTTATCGTAAAAGAATGACTTGCACATCGTGGTTGTTACTGCCAAGAATTCCACAACACAAAACCCATCCATAAAGACTGCTGAAGTTGGATTAGCTGGAATATATTACGACAGCCGAAGTTACTTATAACCTTTTTGTTTCTATCCTATGTGAAGTTTTTCACAGAACAGCTGATCACTATGTCCAATTGATTACAGATTTAGGAGGAAGCCAGAGCACATACCTAAGCCATTATTTTCTCTTTCCATTAAACGCTTACTTGCAAACACACACATACAGGCATGCTGATTTCAACGGATGGGGAGTAAGGTAAAAGAACAGAGAAGATGCAAAAGTACTTAAACCTACCTTGATGCCGCGAAGAAGCTTGTGACCTGATAACCAAAACTGGCATAGTATGCATGTTCCATAATAGCCATCAGCTGGACACAGTTATATCCTGTAAAAGTAGAAGTAAAGCAAACTCCTGCCTTAAGGATAGTTAAAAGAGGATTCAACACCTGTAACACATGCATTCCAGTCTTCTCTCATTTTAGCTGCTTCTAACTCTTTAACAACTAAAGATTGAGTCTCTCTCAAGAAGAAATTCCACCTCATAGTTTATATTTATATGATCTTCCATTAAAAGTGAAACGGTCAATTTGTCAAGTGATCTACATATAACTAGGTGTACTGAAGCTCTCAGATTTAGAAAGCAGTATGTGATATGCAAATATAATCTTAATTTAACTTCAGAATATTAAGCTATGCCAATCTGCACGTCTGGAATTTATGCTTCACTTTTGACGTTTGCTGTCAGGGGTATCGAGGTAGTCACTGGCTACATGTACTATACCTTATGCCTTAGGGAATATTTTTAACCACTTCAAACTCACTTTTTTCCCCAACTTTATGATTATATTCCCTCTCTACAAGAATCTTTCAAGAAAGAGAAAACACAGAAGTAATGTGGTTTTGGTTTGAGTTTACCAAAAAATCAAGGCAGTACAGGAGGGCTGGAGACATGCTGGCTCTTGTATCACCTAAGATAGTTCAGTGCTATATTAAGGAAGGGAAAGCTAAATGGAAAACAACATACTAATGGTGAAGCCACAGTTATTTGCCACACATCTTGACTAAAGCCGTCTTTAATATCGGTGAATAAGTGTCCCAGACAGCTCGCAAGTGAGGACTACCAACAGAAGATAACTTTCAAGTTTAATCTACAGCCTGTGGAGACTCCCACCACCATCACTTCTCTTTATTACTTTAACCACAATCTTCATGCTTTAGTTTAGACAAGATACTGATTCCTTTTTTATTGTTCTTGGTTTCATTTTTAATTTTTGCAGCCATAAAAGTGTTATTATTAGAATATAGTTGGCACTAGCTCAGCAATTTGTCAGATTCATTGATAGTTTATAATTCAGGCTCATTGCACTTATTCTTATTTACAGTATTTTTATAAACAAACTGCAACATAGCATCAAATTAATCTAATTTGATTTGCTTGCTATTTATTTTGCTATTTGTCATGCACATATTTCCACTATTAATATCTTAGCATTTGTAAATACTGATATGTTTAAGCCTGTCCTAACAAGTAAGACATTGCAAAACCAAATCTAACACCTCTTAAAAATAACTTTTTTTTTAAAGAAAAAAAGAAGGCAATTCCCATAGTGTTTACTTAATGTAAATAAGAACAAACATTATCTAGCA